AGTGGCATCATCATAGCTCACTGAAACCTCAAATTCCTATTCTCTAATGATCCTCCTGCCTCAGCTTCCCAAGTAGCTGGGACTACATGTACATGGCACCACATCCAGTGTAGAAACGGGATCTCACTCTTGTTTAGGCTGGTCTTGAGCTCCTGAGCTGAAGCGATCCTCCCACCGCAGCCTCCCAGAGTGTTAGGTTACAGATGTGAGCCACCGCACCCACCCTAGTTTAGTACTTTTAACTCTAGTCATTTCCCTACCACTGTAGATATTACTGCAAAATATTTCCATATCAAGAGATTTTTAATATTTTTATGGCCAAAATATTCCCCTCCCTATCTTGGAATTCCCAGATCATTTCACATTTGTGGCCCTGGGATGTAACCTCAGATTCATTGTTGCTGAAACCCATGAAGGTAACGGTCCCCTGACAATGACGACTGTGAAATGTGGGTGAACTGAAAGAAACCCTCACACCACCTTCCCACTGCCCCTGGGGTTACATTAGTTGCAAACTGAAAAATATTAAAATATTCCCCATGGAGCCCAGTGGAAGGAATGGATTCTATGACTTTGCCTCAAAGAACCCCACCCATAGCTCACAGCTGTGCTTGGAGGAACTTTAGAGTCGCTCAACATACAGCCCCAGACACACAGTCCATATGCAAAAGGACATCCAGTGTAACCATTTAATAGCCTCAGTTAAAAGAAAAGAATGGTCACTCAGAAATGTGATGTGATTTCTTGTTTCTCTTTGTTTCACAGGAACATAAATTTTGAGGTTCTAATTTACAAAAAAAAAATAAAAGGGCAAAGCCCAATTTTGTAAATATACACACAAATCCTGATTTGGCATTTCCTTAATCCTGCTTCTCACTGCCTCCCACTTCTCTCCTTTTAGAGTTGGCTGGCCATAAAGTAAGCTATTTTTTTGCTAATAAATAGTATTACAAGTAAATAGAATAATACAATAATAAAATAAGTATTAAAATAAACCACAAAATAGCACTTGCAATTTATCCTAATTCCAAAAAGGAGTTGGGAGGGGCAGTGAGGCAAGTCTTTGGGTGAAGGTGAGGGGTGCTCCTGTGTCCATTTCTAGGAAGTGCCTGATGACTTATTCCTGTCTCTACTAATCTGTCACACCCAGGTCTCAGGGTTTTGCACCTGTCAGAGCTGTGTAGTAGGTCACTGTGCATGGTCTTTCAGGTGGACATGATCTGACTTGGGCATTTTTCATCCTGGCTCCAGGACAGGACAGAGCGGGAGGCTCTTCGGGGCAGCACACCATTCACCATGCTGTTTTTTCTTTCTTTCAGAGACTCTGACCTATTTTTGTTGGACACCCGTGTAGTGTGGGCCTCAGAAGAAGGCTGGCTGGAATTTGACATCACGGCCACTAGCAATCTGTGGGTCGTGACCCCACAGCATAACATGGGGCTTCAGCTGAGTGTGGTGACGCGGGATGGTAAGTGTTCATGCACGCACTACCAAAGTCTGGCAGGGGGTCATTTTTTTGTTCATTTCCTTTACAGCAGCTGTGATAGGACCATGGTTTCTAATCAAGTCCTCAGCTCCAGGAGGACCCTGCTGGCTCTTCCTTTATGTCTGCTATTGAGAACCCAAATCTTTTCCTGAGGACTTCTAGACAGGATGTGCAGACAGGCTTGGGTCATGTCCCTTCTGGAAGGTGGTCAGGGTGCTGAGAGGGACAATGAAAGGACAGCTGTCCTAGGCAGAGGCAGCAGAGGTGATGTTCAGAGAAAGAGAGAGGTAGGACTGACAGCCTGACTGGGGACCAGGTTTCCCCAAGGGATATTCCAGTGCTGTCTCCACCTGTGGCATCGAAGCTCAGCAGCTCAAGGTCCCCACTGCCTATTGTGTCCCCCATGGGCCCTCAGGCTGTGCACTCTGCCCAGTGGGTCAGCTCACTGGTGGAGAAGAAATCTGATCAGAAATAAAAGTGACTACAGGTGAGTAAAACCAGCAGAGACGGACAGCCTAGGGGCTCACTCCATACTGTGAAGGGGTTCGTGTACCTGTGAAGAATGTTTTCGTTCTGTGGTACACAGGTGTGCAGTTTGAGCAGGTAGGATCTGCTTCCTCACACTCGTTCTTTACTGCTGGCACTGGGGAGACTAGGAACCATCCCTTAACTGCAGCTGCAGGAATGAAGTTCCAAGTAATAAGACAGGCATGCTTTGGTTTGCATTAAAGGAGTCCATATCCACCCCCGAGCTGCAGGCCTGGTGGGCAGAGACGGCCCTTACGATAAGCAGCCCTTCATGGTGGCTTTCTTCAAAGTGAGCGAGGTCCACGTGCGCTCCACCAGGTCAGCCTCCGGCCGGCGCCGACAACAGAGCCGCAACCGCTCCACCCAGTCCCAGGACGTGTCCCGGGTCTCTAGTGCTTCAGGTAGGTTTGGGGGAAGCCTGTTTCTCCAAGGCCTGTTGGGGTTAATGACAATAAACATCGTGCTTGTGATCTCAGATGCTGAGCAACTTCTGCACCACAAATGCAAAGGCCCGTCTCTCGGTGTTGTATGGGCGGTGGAGTTCTCATCATGGTGTCCGATCATCTAGGAGGGTTCCAGGGCCCTCAGCATGGAAAACTTGTCACCCAACGACTGATTGTGCAGGCTGCAGGCATCGTGACTGCCTGTTTATCAGATGAGCGTCTTTCTGTTGCCTTCGGTTTCTCCAACTTGTTCTCATTCCCTTCAAAACTCTGTGACCACCAAGATTTTTTTTTTTCCTAGCTTTGTTATGCCTGGTGGGTTTGTGTAATGTGGACTTGTATTTGTCAGTGGTCTTTGCTGAAAGAGATGAGATATCGACTCTAACAGCCCTCTAGGATGGGTTTCACTAGGTCACTTAGCTGAGAAGGTCAGGGCTTCTGGCTTTAGGCATGGATAGTCCGTGGGCTTAGGCCATACCAGGGATCTCACTTCTTTTTTCTGTTTTCCTTTGTTGGTGACATTCTCAGAAAGACTGTCTCTATAGGGTGGCCAGGAAGGCAACCAGTAGTTCCAGGAGTTTCTTGCTCTTGGATCCTCAGCCTCAGACAGAGAGCCCTTCTTCAGCTGAAAGCCAGAACATGATTCTGGTTGGTGGGGAGTGCTCTGGATGGCCAGGCCTGAGCTGTGTGCCTGCCCTTGGAGCTAGAGAAGGAGGTCAGTCCCATTCTGCCCAGAACAGGCAAGTTCAAAGGTCAAGGAAGAGGAACTAGCCTCCACCACCTGAGTGTCATTTTGACGGTCCTTCAGACATGATCCCTCCGTGGCCAGGCCTGTTTTGGAGGTGATGGGAAGTCCACTCATGGAAACACAGAGGAAGGGGAGCAGGTGCTCCCTTCTGACAGCCAGTCCTGTAGCTAGTAAGCATTGCATTCAGACTCAGACGTTTCTGACTCTAAAGCCAGTGCTTGTGAGACCTGAGGTTCTTTGGGCTGTTGAGTAGCCTGGGAATCAAGCGTGAAGTCGGGCTTTGCAGTGGTGGGGTTTGCAGCAGAGAACTTGCTTCCCTCATTGCTACCCTGCAACTCTGGACAAACTGAATCTGTTTCATCTTCAGTTTACTCTTCTGTAAGGTGAGGGTAATAAATACCCTGTAGGTTTTCTGGGAGTAGATGAAAGGCATGAAAATCTGGCTCTCAAAAGCATTCAAAGATCAGTTACTTCCAGTTGTAGGGAACAGGTTCTCAGGGCATACATTAGGGTCCCTGGAAAGGAAGTGAAATACTTCTGGAAGACGCATGAATTCTTCCAGGTGATTATCCTGTCACCTCAGTTTTTCTCCAGGAAGAAGAGGCTCCATTTTAGAGTCTAACTTAATAAGCTGTCTCTTTTACCAGTAACTTGGATGTGGAACTTGAGGGTCCACCACCCAGTGTGATGTGACATTTTGTTTCTTGTCATCCTGGTGTTTCTTGGAAGCATTGCACAGCATGGGTGTTCCTGTGTTTACCACTAGAAACAGTCAGGGTTGGGGTTTTTGAAAAAGAAGAAGAAGAAAAAATGCTTGCTTTCCTTTCTTCATTTCAGAGGCAGCCTGCTAAACGGAGTTAATCATCTCAGTGTTTTCCTTCGGGGCACGAAGGTCTGCCAATGGCAGGCTGCAATTTATTAACGAACTGTGGTCAGTTCGGTACTGGGACCTCAGACGTGGAGGCATCTCTTGAAACATTGATTGCTTTTTAAAATTAAAATTTCACTTGATTTATTCAGCATTCCCCTTCTTCCCCCCCACCCCACCCCCTGGCCCTCCCAATACACACACTAATGTTTTTAAATTGAGAAAACATGGTGTGCCTGATTGGGGTTTCAGCAATGTCACCCAGTTATTATTTTCTAAGTCCCTTTCAACTTGTCTTTCCCCTGATTTGGTGATTTTAAATTAAATATGGATATTCAAGTTGATCTAATTTACAACGATTTGTGACGGTCTCAGGGTTGGTCTCTGCTGTCCTCCCCCCTCTCAGTGCTGCACTTCCAAAAGTGCTTTACTCCTCCCAACAGTGTGAAGGCAAAAGATTTCATAGCAAACCCCCTCCATCCTCGCCTATTTAAAAGCCTCCAAGAAAGCCTTACCAGGAAGGATTCTCCCTCCTTCTCTCTCTTCAAAGATCCCCTCAAGCAATCTGAGAAAGCGCTCCTGTCTGGCCCACTGAGGTGCAGCTTTCTATACATGGCTGCTTTTTCCTTATTTATTCTTCTGTTAGTGGAAGACGACATGCAGAGGAAGAGATTTCCAGAAAGAAGACCTGCTACCTGGAGAAATGGGCTGTCTGGTTTTTCTCTCTCGTGGGGCCAGGTGTTGCCGGGTGATCAGCTAGGTAGATATTGCAGAGACAGAAATCCATGCTCTCTGGCCTGACTGCGGCAGGCTCCTGCTTGTAAATCTTCTGGGAGGATGAAGGAAGAGATTGCTTTGCCTCTGCTGCCCCCTTCTTCCACAGCATGTGCTCCCAAGGAACGGACAGTTCTCCACCAAAACCACCACCACCAGCAGCAGCCCCCCAGGATCATCTGGCATCCGGGCAAAGAAGTTAACATCATTCATCAAATTGCCTGTCATCAGGGTGACACATGGCAGGGAAATAAGTGGCTAGTTTTGGAACTGAGCTGTACTGTGCTTCAGACGGCAGGACTAGTCCACGACAGAGGAAAGGCCAAGAGCTCCCACCACCCACCAAAATCTACTCTAACATTTGTACTTGGCTTTCAAGCTGGACTTCCAAACACGTGCATCAGACAGTGGGTTTGGACCGAAGTCTCTCTGGAGGGTTTGCAGTGGCCTCGCTTCTCTGCAGCTGTCGGCTTTGAATGCAGGCTGCGTTTTGGCCGTGTTATCCTTCTCCAGGGGCGTGGATGGCCTCTGCACGGCATCGTTTATGGTTTTTACACGTTTTACTAGTCCTGGTGCACACTGTCCTGGGCAGCCCGTCGGGAATTCTAATGAACCCGGCATGTCTTTCTCAGCCTTCGTTTTTCACCAGCCCCCTGCTCTTGTGGCACTGCTCTTGGGTTCTCTAGTTGCAGCTTGGTGCTCCCTTTCGGCCGGCTGCCGTTTGCCCTGCTTTTATGGTAGTGCTCTCTCTCTCTCTCTCTCTCTCTCAGGGTTTATTGCTTTGTCTTCTGGGGGAGAGCGACACCACTTGGCCAATCCATTATAGGATTCCACGTGTCCTTGGAGGATGATTCCATTTGGTAATTCTAAATTCTGATCTGGCTAATTTTCTAGAATTTGTCCAAGACATCTTTGGGGAGGGCATAGCTCATGCAATTTCAAGTCAGCCAGTGAATCTGAGGTTTTCTGCCATGTTAACTAGCTGGCTCCCAGTGCTGTGGCTTAGAGTTGGTCTTTGTCTTGGCAGATGACCAAAGTTTAGAAACATTATCTGCCGCTTTTTTGTTTTTGAGACAAGGTTTCACTCTGTTGCCCTGGATAGCGCCATGTTGCTGTCATAGCCCATTGCAATCTCAGACTCCTGGGCTCAAGAGATACTCCTGCCTCCGCCTCCCAAGTAGCTGGGACTATAAGCGCACACCACCACACCCAGTTAATGTTTTCTATTTTTGGTAGAGATGGGTCTCACTCTTGCTCAGGTTCGTCTCAAACTCCTGACTTGAAGTAATCCTCCCACCTCCACTTCCCAGAGTATTAAGATGACAGGTGAAGCACCACACCTTGCTACCTGCCGCTTTTAACAATTCATGTAAAATTGGAGTAGTCTCTTTCATTCTTGGTGTTGATGTTTTCACTATCCAGCTCTGCCCAGTGTCTGTGAATCCAGCAACCTCTTCAGACCTTGTACATCCTTTGGAATGAGACCGTCAGGGCGCCGATGCTCCCTGTTTCTAATGGTACACTCTCCTTCCATCCCTTCCCCACCTATGCAGACATGTGCATTTAAGGACCCCAGAAAAAATAATGTGGCTGTAATGTCCATTTAGCTACACTGGTGACTTCTTGTTAATAGCTCTTAGCTTCTATTCCTCAGGCTTCATAACTGGGACCATTCAGTATACCTCCAGCATAAGAAAGGAAACCAGAAATTTTCATTTCTTGCAAAACACCTGTGTGAGGACATTATGATGACTGTGCAGCCTTTTGCTATAGATTTCAAGGAACTTCAGTGCACAGACTTGGGGGTCTTATTCTGACAGAGTCCTCTCCTTCATCGTTGGTGTCCATGGGTTGGGGGTGCCAAAGCTGAGTGGTCAACCCACCATGGACATCCAAAGCTCAGAAAAAATAGACACAGCTCAGAACTGTGAATTGGCAGTTTGTAGTTCTTCCAAAAAGTTGAGGATTTTACTTCGTCATTTTGATCTGAAATTAAAATTTTAGGGACTATCGCTTGGCTTCCCGATGTCTTTGTTAAGAAGTAGAGGCTCATTAGGAGGCCTCATCAATGAAATCAAACTGTAATTCACAGATGTAAAGGACAGGCATGGCAATTCAAAGGTTGGAATCATTTAAACTTTTAGCATGCTGGACCCTCATTTACCACCTCAGGACAGTGGTTATCTAGGAGTGAAACAGACTGGAAAGTTCCCTTTTATCTCTTTCCAAGGTTTACCATTTGTGGCTGGGCCCTGCTTGTCCAAGCAGCCCTGGACAAGGTGGGCCAGAGTGTTGGCTGGGTTGCTGGGCACTTGCCCTGCCCACTACTCTGTGCCAAAGAATTGATCAGAGGGCCGGATTTCACTTTCTGTGCTCAACTTCGAAAATGCCAAATCCCTTAAAGAAAGTCTTCTTTTGAATTTTTATCTCTTATCTAAGATTCTTCAACTCCAAGACTAACTCTTCATTGCAGCTATACCTGGAGGGTACCCTGGGTTCCCTGGGCTCTGTGTCTAGATGTGGTAATAGCATCACTGTGGGGTAGCAGCTCCAGTTCTGGTGTCTGCA